GGGGCTGCTGGCCCTCTCCGCGCTCGGCTTCTGCCTCATGCTGCAAGTCAGCGCTAAGAGGCCCCCCAAGACGCCCCCCTGCCCGCCCAGCTGCTCCTGCACCAGGGACACCGCCTTCTGCGTGGATTCAAAGGCAGTGCCCAGGAACCTGCCCTCGGAGGTCATCTCCCTGTGAGTGTCCAGCCCCGGCCTTGAGGGTGGGGAGGGAGAGGAGGCCGAGGACAGCTCTGGGAGAGGACAGGAGAACCCTCGCTCCCCCTCTTCAGAGTGTGGGGACCAGGGGGACTGCAGGGGTCCTCAGGGTTGGAGAGTCCAGGCCCCAATCAGGCAGGGAGTTCTGCAGTTTTGCAGCCTCAGCGGCCATGGGTGGGGAAAGCAGGAGTTCACCACCAAGAATGAATCATCACCACCACGAGCGTCAGTGAGACCTACTGTGTGCTGGGCTCCAGACTTGGCGGTGGGGGGGGGCTTGCTTACACGAGCATGTGGACTCCTGCCTGTGATGTCACACCAAGGGCAGGAGAGTGGCAGCCAGGGCAGGTGGGAATGAGCTCTGCCCTCCCAGCACCCTGGCATGGGGCACACGCCTGCCACTGACCAGCCACTTGGCACCCAGCCCGGCCAGCCTGTCACTTGCAACAGCCAGCCTCAGGGGCTCCCCTTGTCTGTGGGACCAGAGAGGTTGTGAAGTCCTTAGGGACCAGGATGCCAGCCCCCACCCCCATGCCCCATCTCTCAACAGCACCCAGCCCATTGTGGGTGTTTGGATGATGATGATAACGGTGTGGGTGATGGAACCTTTTCTTGCCTGAGAGGGAAGCTGAGTCTGGGGCCATGGGTGCCCCAAGAGGCAATAGGGGAGGACTGTGGTGAAGGCAGGCAGTGAATTTGGGAAGAGAAGGGAAAGACACAGGTGGGGGCCAAGGTCGGTGAAATGGGGCGTTTCCAGGGCAAGTGAGTACAAAAGCCTCTGCCGTCCATGTTCACCTCTCCCTGCCTCAGCACAGCCCCTGCAGACCCCACAGTACTGACTCGGGTGTCCCCGCAGGACCCTGGTGAATGCCGCCTTCTCAGAGATCCACGATGGAGCGTTCTCCCACCTCCCGCTGCTGCAGTTCTTGTATGGATAGGGCCTTGTGGAAGGGTTGGGGGAGCTGTGGGGATGGTAGCAGGGAACAGATCCTGGGCTGGGGAGAGGGAGAGTGGACAGAGGCAGCCTCTGGAGACAAAGATGCAGGTGTCCCTTGCGTTTGTTCTGATAGGATGTACCCAAAAGGTGGGGCAGCCTGGAGTCAGGGGAGTCGGGGCAGCAGGAGGACAGCTAGGGATGGCACAGAGAAGCCAAGCACGGGGGATCTGGGGATGGGCTTGGCGCCTCTGGAGACCCAAGAGAGCTGGGTGCGATAACCTGGGCTAGTGCCTAAGGTGGGCACTGTGGGGCCATGTTAGAGACAGGTGACCCCAGGAATCACGGATCCCGGAAAGAGCTGGGGGCTGAAAGAAAGGGATGGCAGGAGTGTCTCCAACTCTACAAGATGCCGTCCATGAGGGACAGTTGTCCATGATGGGCTGGAGCGGGACAGAATGAGGGTGGGGGAGAGGGAGAGGAGATGCCACTGGGGAGGGCCAGGAGCTGGCTTGACAAGAGAACTCTGCCTCGGCCCATGTTTAGGAGCCAACAGGGACCCTGGGAGCTTCTGGGGCCAGAACAGGCTCCTGCCTGGCCTTGTTGCCCAGGTGGCCCAGGGATTCCCTATGGGGTCCCTAGGGGTGGCAGCAGGGCAGCCAGGTCTTGGGGAAGCCCAGGGCTGAGGCAGTGGGCTGGGGGCTGGGGCAGCAGGCACACCCTTGGAAGCTCTAATTCCACCTTTGTCTCTGCAGGTTGCTCAACTCCAACAAGTTTACACTGATTGGAGACAACGCCTTCACAGGACTGTCGCACCTGCAGTATCTGTGTGTGGGAGGGAAAGGGGCAATGGGAAAGAACAAGGGAGGGGGACCCCAGGCCTGGGCGGCCGAGGGACTGGGTAGGGATTGGATGAGAATGCCGTGGGAGGGGGAGGTGATGGGAGGCGAGAGCCCTTGCATCCCGTGACGGCAGGACCTGAGCAGAAGGTCGTTTCATTCGTTTTGCCTCTACCCTACCTGGTGCCCTATCCCTATGACTTGATGATGCCAGACTCCATTTGGAAACCTGTCTTGGGGACATGGGCTGAAATCTAGGCTGGGGCATAGGGCGAGTGCTGCTGGGGGTCTGGCATCCTGTGTGACCACTGAGGCAAGTTCCCGCTTTCCCCAGCTTCATTGAGAACAATGACATCTGGACATTATCCAAGTTCACCTTCCGAGGACTCAAGTCCTTGACTCACCTGTGAGTACGTCACACATATACACACTGCACCAAAGCCCCACCTCTCCTGTGGCCTTTGGCCTTGGTCATGATCTTCAGATGACCTGGGGGTCTCTCTTGCAGCTCGCTGGCCAACAATAACCTGCAGACACTGCCCAGAGACATCTTTCGGCCCCTGGACATCCTGAATGACTTGTAAGGCCCGAGTCCTGTCTCTTCCAACAGTGCTGCAGAGGGTGCATCCCTGGAGGGAGTGGTGTGGGAGTCAGAACTGGGATGGTCATAAGGTCTTGAGAAGCCGGGAGGGCTTGGGTCTGGGGGCCCCTGAGAAGGTGAGGAGGTAGAGTTAGATATAGATGGTAGCCTTCCAAACTGCATTTTTTCTCAAAGTGCGCCTGAGACACCATGTGTGTATGTTTTTGTTTGTTTGTTTGTTTGTTTTTTTCGATGGAGTCTCACTCTGTCACCCAGGCTGGAGTACAGTGGCACAATCTTGGCTCACTGCAACCTCCACCCCTTGGGTTCAAGTGATTCACCCTCAGCCTTCTGAGTAGCTGGGGCTACAGGTGTGTGCCACCACACCTGGCTAATTTTTTGTATTTTTAGTAGAGACGGGGTTTCACTATGTTGGCCAGGCTGGTCTCAAACTCCTAACCTTGTGATCTGCCAACCTCGGCCTCCCGAAGTGCTGGGATTACAGGCGTGAGCCACCATGCCCGGCCAAAAATGTGCTTTTCAAGGCTGGGCATGGTGGCTCACGCTTGTAATCCCAGCACTTTGGGAGGCCAAGGAGGGCGAATCACCTGAGGTCAGGAGTTTCAGACCAGCCTGGCCAACATGGTGAAACCCCATCTGTACTACCAAAGCCCCACCTCTCCTGTGGCCTTTGGCCTTGGTCATGATCTTCAGATGACCTGGGGGTCTCTCTTGCAGCTCGCTGGCCAACAATAACCTGCAGACACTGCCCAGAGACATCTTTCGGCCCCTGGACATCCTGAATGACTTGTAAGGCCCGAGTCCTGTCTCTTCCAACAGTGCTGCAGAGGGTGCATCCCTGGAGGGAGTGGTGTGGGAGTCAGAACTGGGATGGTCATAAGGTCTTGAGAAGCCGGGGGGGCTTGGGTCTGGGGGCCCCTGAGAAGGTGAGGAGGTGGAGTTAGATATAGATGGTAGCCTTCCAAACTGCATTTTTTCTCAAAGTGCGCCTGAGACACCATGTGTGTATGTTTTTGTTTGTTTGTTTGTTTGTTTTTTTAGATGGAGTCTCACTCTGTCACCCAGGCTGGAGTACAGTGGCACCATCTCAGGGCTCGGCAACCTCTGTCTCCCAGGTTCAAGTAATTCTGCTTCAGCTTCCCGAGTAGCTAGGATTACAGGCATGCACCACTACACCTGGCTAATATTTGTAATTTTAATAGAGACAGGGTGTCTCCATGTTGGTCAGGCTGATCTTGAACTCCCGACCTCAGGTGACCCGCTCGCCTCTGCCTCCCAAAGTGCTGGGATTACAGGCGTGAGCCACTGTGCCCGGCCAACATGTGCTTTTTTTTTTTTTTTTTTTGAGACAGAGTCTCACTCTGTTGCCCAGGCTGGAGTGCAATGGCGTGATCTCTGCTCACTGCAATCTCTGCCTCCCAGGTTCAAGCGATTCTCCTGCCTCAGCCTCCCAAGTAGCTGGGACCACAGGTGTGTGCCACCACACCTGAGTAATTTTTGTATTTTTAGTAGAGCTGGGAATTCACCATGTTGGCCAGGTTGGTCTCAAACTCTTGACCTTGCGATCCACCCACCTCAGCCTCCCAAAGTGCTGGGATTACAGGTGTGAGCCAGCACGCCCAGCCTGTGCTTTTTAAATTTATATTTGATTGGACTCCACATTAAAGTTCAATCAGGGGGAGGAGAGTTTGAAAGTTTTGAGTAAGTAGTATATAGCATATAGTAGTGTCTAGCATAGCCACACTCATTTATCATTATTTATAAGAAAATAAAAGCGTTGGATTGTGGGAGGCTTAGAGAAGCAGGGATGCAACGTACTGCTGTTCAGGTTGCATACTGCAAAAGCCAACCTGGCCAAAAAGGTCAGCGAGGGCTGAAACTGACTCCATATTCTGCTGGCCAAGCCTGTGTCTATGGGGCTGCATCCAGCCAGAGGAAACCTTTTCTCTAATCAATACGAAGATGCATGTGAAAGACTTGCAACAGCCTTGACCAGCTCTATTTCTGAAAACCTGGAGGGCCTGGGTGGGCAGAGCCCTGAGAGCCTGTCTCTCTCTGTGCCCTCCTCCTCTGCCCTCATGATGTAGGGACCTGCGGGGCAACTCACTCAACTGCGACTGCAAGGTGAAGTGGTTGGTGGAGTGGCTGGCACACACCAACACCACGGTGGCGCCCATCTACTGTGCCAGCCCTCCCCGCTTCCAGGAGCACAAGGTGCAGGACCTGCCGCTGCGGGAGTTCGACTGCATCACTACGGGTAGGAGGTGCCCCTGCCTTGGGTGTCAGCCCACGTCTACCCCAAGGCAGCTTTACAGGCGTGAAACCCCCCACCCTGCCCCACGACACCCAGTGGCAGCAGTAAAGCAACCACCATCACCCAAGCAGCCCTTCCCTTCTCCCTCTGGTCTTCAGTAACACACCTCTCATCTTGCAGATTTCGTGCTGTACCAGACCCTGTCCTTCCCAGCAGTGTCGGCTGAGCCCTTTCTCTACTCCAGTGACCTCTATTTGGCTCTGGCCCAGCCAGGTGTCAGTGCCTGCACCATCCTGAAGTGGGACTATGTTGAGCGGCAGCTTCGAGACTATGACAGAATCCCAGGTACCTGCACCCAATCTGGTTCTGCTGACCCTTGCCAGGGGGACGGGGGAGTGGACTCCGTCATTTAACCCCATTGAGTTTCTGTAGGTAGAGGGATAGATGAGACATATTCTCTGCCCACAAGAACTTTCCAGTCTTTGGGAGGAGGCCAATATATACACAGATATCATCCATATGATAGGCAGATGTTAAGAGGGAGATATGAACATGATGCTCTAGCAGCACAAAGGACAAGCCTACCCTGGGCAATCAGGGAAGGCTTCCTGGTGGAGGGGGAATACCTAAGCTGAGTCTTGAAGGAGAGAGGAAAGGGAGGACTCAGAGGTGATCCCCAGGTATCTGGCTTACATAATTAGATGGACTGGGAAATGAGGAGGAGACAGGAGTGACTATTGAGCAGTTTTGGATCTACCAAGTTTGAACTGAGTCTTGAAAGCTGAAGGAGACTTAGCTAGGAGCAAAAAAAGTGGAAAGAGTGTTTTGGCAGAGGAAACAGCATGAACAAAGTCAAGGAGGTGTGCAATAACTTAGTATGTGACTGTGTGTATGTGTGCAAATCATAAGCAGCTTGTATGACAAGGGATAAGGTTCAAGGTGGGGAGTGGCAACCAGAGATTCATGAGTACCAGCTCATTGACAGGGTTTAGGCAGAATGTGTGATCCAGTCCGCATTTTAGAAAGCTTCTTGCATGGAAAAAGGCTAGGTGTGGGGCCAGACATGAGGGCAAAACAGTAGGGGGATATGTGCCTGTCTGCTAGAGGGGTGCTGGAGCCTGGATATGAGACAGTAGCAGTGGGGATGGAGGGAGATATTTAGAAAGAAGGGTTAAACTGACACCAGATAAAATAGAAAACTTACATTGGCCTGTCTCCATTAAGGAGCTTGAAGTCAGTATTAAAGAAAAAAACAAAAACAAAACACCTTCCCCTAGAAAAACCTCCTGGCCCAGAGAGCTCCCCTGGTGAACGCTATCAAACATTTAAGGAGGAACTAACACCAATCTACATACACACTCTTAGAAAGTAGAAGGGAAGGCTGTCGGGACTTGAGGACTGATCAGGGAAGGGTGAGTGGAGGAGAGAAAGGTGTTAGGGATGACTGCCAGGTTTCTGGATTGGGAGACTAGTGGAGCCACAGCTGAAATCAAGAACAGAGGAGGAGGAGGGCAGGCTCAGCGATGGGTATGGAGCTCCATTGTCAGTTGTGAGTCATGACTGAGTTTGAGGTGCTTGTGTGGGTGTGTGGGCCAGAAGAGTATGAGGGAAGATTAGGAGCTGGGGTGTGGCATGGGGATCATTAGCATCTGGGCAGGGCAGACCAAGCTCCAAAGAAGGGATTTAGGCAGTGACTGCCAGAGCCTGAGGCTCTACACAAATTTCTCTTAGGGGAAAGGTGGGGTTGCAGTGAGAAGGAAGGAGGGGTGAATTGGGGATGTCAAAGTAGAGATGCTGGGCAGCAGCTGGAGACCCCAGGACAGGTGAGCAGTGTGTGGTTTGATGTGCCTGGTGCCCCAGAAGGGCTCCGATGAAGCTGATTGTGAGTACAGGTGCACATGGGCATGCATGCTTGTACATAAAAGCCCTTTCAAAAGTGAGAACTCTTGGGAGGATGTGTTCTCATGTGCTGTGATGCAAACAGCAAGGTGTCTTGGGTATACCTAAGATTCCTCTCCCCTGTGTGGATCCACTCAAATTCTTCCTCCCTTCCCTGCCTGGCCACTGCCAGTGGGGTAGCTTTGGGCAAGTCACTTGCTCTCTCTGAGCCTCTCAGTTTCTTTCTGTGTGAAACAGACAAAATCACAGGGTCCTTTCCAGAGTAATGAATTCCTCATCGATGTAACATGTGCTTACATTCAGCATAGTGACTGCACACAATAAAAATTCAATAACTGACATTATGGTTAAGCAACGAGTCACTATCGAGGGATACCTATTTTGTGCTGTATCAGCTTATATTTGAACCCTAGGGGTATGGGTGGAACAAGGGTGATACTAAAACTGGCTATTAGCTGTGAAACAACTGGAAAGCATTGAGCACTTAGTGGATGAACTTCAGTGTGGGTGGAATGGTATAGCACAGAGTCTTAGTCCTGGTCCAAGGTTAGAAGAGACTGGCCTTCTCCAAGGGGGTGGGATGGAGTGGGAGCTGCCAGCCTGCCTGATGCTGCCTGCCCCTGTCCTGGCACAGCCCCCTCTGCAGTGCACTGCAAGCCGATGGTGGTGGACAGCCAGCTGTATGTGGTCGTGGCCCAGCTGTTTGGTGGCTCTTACATTTACCACTGGGATCCCAACACCACGCGCTTCACAAAGCTGCAGGATATCGACCCACAGCGCGTGCGCAAGCCTAATGACCTAGAAGCCTTCCGCATCGACGGCGACTGGTACTTTGCCGTGGCCGACAGCTCCAAGGCGGGCGCCACCAGCCTCTACCGCTGGCACCAGAATGGCTTCTACTCCCACCAGGCGCTGCACCCCTGGCACCGCGACACCGACCTGGAGTTTGTGGATGGTGAGGGCAAGCCACGGCTGATTGTGTCCAGCAGCTCCCAGGCACCGGTCATCTATCAGTGGAGTCGCACACAGAAGCAGTTTGTGGCCCAGGGTGAGGTGACTCAGGTGCCTGATGCCCAAGCTGTGAAACACTTTCGTGCCGGCCGCGACAGTTACCTGTGCCTCAGCCGTTACATTGGTGACTCCAAGATCCTGCGCTGGGAGGGTACCCGCTTCTCGGAGGTGCAGGCCCTGCCCTCCCGGGGTTCGCTGGCCCTGCAGCCCTTCCTTGTGGGTGGCCGCCGCTACCTGGCGCTGGGCAGCGATTTCTCCTTCACCCAGATCTACCAGTGGGATGAAGGACGACAGAAGTTTGTACGGTTCCAGGAACTGGCTGTGCAGGCTCCTCGGGCCTTCTGCTACATGCCTGCTGGGGATGCCCAGCTACTCCTGGCCCCCAGTTTCAAGGGACAGACGCTGGTTTATAGACACGTTGTGGTGGATCTCAGTGCCTAGGGTGGTGCCAAGGCCTCTGGGCTCCTCAGGGTGGCCACTGGAGGATGGGTGGGGGCCTCTGTGAGCACCACGTGTGCCCGTGTGAAGACGCAAGGCCAACCTGCATCCATGCCCTTGCATCTGCACATGCCCAGTGTGCACAGGCACACCCTGTGGACTGGCCCAGGAGTACATGCATCATCACTGCAATCAGCATGAACACCAGGCACCCCTGGGACACCTAGCGCCCAGTTCCTGTGACCCCAACCATAGCCCCCCCTCCTCTGCAGCCTTCCCCATGTTCTGCCCCCTGTCTTATGCATATGAGTGGTGCAGGGTGCTGGGAGCGAGGGGGGCCGCACCCTCCCGTCCTTGTGCTTCTCCTGGCCCTCTGGCCTTTCCTGTTGGTGCTCCAGGCATTGTTTACCTGCTCTTGCTCCCCACTGTAGCCCACGGCCATATCTGTCATACTTCCCCGGGGGCACTCACCCCTGCCCCAACCTGTCTGCATGCTCACATGGACGCGGACAGACACACTCAGTTACACACTCACACGCCCGGTCTGCACTCCTTGTCTGTCTGTAAACGTGTTAGGGCACGTGTGCATACAAGCAGATTCAGCACTGCCTACCAGGCTCTCCTGTTACCTTGCCTCTCTGCTTGGAGGGGGCCCCCTTTGCTCACCCCCAGCGTGCCCCCCACCCAGAACTGATAAGGATGAGAATGGTGGTGCCAGCTTCTGAGGGCCTGCTTGGCCTCCTGGGGGCAAAGCCCCTCTGCCTGAAGCAATAACAACAGCAGCAAAAGCAGCCCCGGGGAGCTGCCGGGGTGTCTGTCTCTGTTCTCCTTGGCGTTTCCTTCATGGCCCTGAATCCCAGCTCACCCATGGATGGAAGACCTCCCGCCCCCCGCCTTCAACTGAAAGCCTCTCTGCCTTCCTTCCTGTGGCTGTTGCTTTCTCAGGCTTGGACTGTCCCCTGGTTCACCCTGTCTTTGGGATGTGGTCCCTGAGCTGGGCAGGCTCCTTGGGTGGATTAGAGAGCTGGCCAAGCTATAAGCACCTGAGCTACCTGCAAGGGTGCCCAGAGTGGAGCTTGGCCTGAGGGCATGTTGTAGCCCTGGCCCCCCCAGTCCACAGAGGCCCCCAGGAACACTGCCTTTCAGTGGACAGGGTAGGGACTGGTGGGAGGGGCCCCATGAGCCTAGCTTCTGCTGCCCTCTGCTGTCTGCTGAGATGCCAAGCTAGTGGAGAGGGAGTGGGCTGGGGTGGCCCTGCCCTGTGCCCAAGTGGTGTGATGCTCCTTGTGGCAGGATACCAGGGTACTGGGGGGCAATGCTATGATTCACTTGCTTCAAATAAAAAGCTCCCTCCCCATAACCGGCTCTCGGGTGTCATCAAAATGTTTCATTGAAAATGGAGCCTGGCCCTGCCTGCCCTGCCGCCCACGGGGAGCCTGGCAATGGCTTCCAGACCTTCTTCCTCCTGGCTCCCTTCTTTCTGAGAAGTGGGCATCCCCAAGGTCAGCTGGGGCTGGGGTCAGGAGTTCACAGGGATGACACTCAGGTGCTGGTGTGATGAGTCTCCAGCACCTGGGGCTGACTCACAGCTAGTGTTCCTTCCTGGAGATTACAGTCCGGGCACCCACGAAGACTTGAGTCTGTCCTGCCATCAGGCCAACTCCAACCGGTGGGGCTGAGGATGATCTCAGCAGTCCGTCTTCTTTTATCCCGATGCCTGTTCCTCCACTGGGCAAATGTCTGTCATTGCCACCACATCCACCCAGATGAGACCTGGGAGTCCTAGGTGACATCTGAATCTCTCTTCTCCCATATTTCATAAGCCAAGTCCTCTCCATTCTTTGTCCCAAAGGTTTGCTAGATGGGCACTTTTTTGTTTTGCTCTTTCCCAGCTCAAAGCTTTGTCCAAACCCTCCTCATCGCCCATTGTCTTGGGTCACTTGCCAGTCCCCGCCAACCCGCTTCTCAGTCTGATTTTTTTTTTTGAGTTGAGTTGAGTTTCACTCTTGTTGTCTAGGCTGGAGTGCAATGGCGCGATCTCGGCTCACCACAACCTCTGCTTCCCAGGTTCAAGCGATTCTCCTGCCTCAGCTTCCCAAGTAGCTGGGGTTACAGGAATGCGCCACCATACCCAGCGACTTTTTTTGTATTTTTAGTAGAGATGGGGTTTCTCCACGTTGGTCAGGTTGGTCTCAAACTCCTGACCTCAGGCGATCTGCCGGCCTCGGCCTCCCAAAGTGCTGGGATTATAGGCGTGAGCCACTGGCCTGGCCTTTTTTTTTTTTTTGAGATACAGTTTCTCTCTTGTTACCCAGGCTGGAGTAAAGTGGCCCTGTCTTGGCTCACTGCAACCTCTGCCTCCCAGGTTCAAGCGATTCTCCTGCCTCAGCCTTTCGAGTAGCTGGGACTACAGGTGCCACCACCACGCCCGGTTAATTTTTGTATTTTTAGTAGAGACAGAGTTTCACCATGTTGGCCAGGCTGGTGTTGAACTCCCGACCTCAGGTGATCCGCCCGTCTCGGCCTCCCAAAGTGCTGAGATTATAGATGTAAGCCACCACGCTCGACCATCGGTCTGATCTTTCTAACATACACGTTCCTCCTGTCCTCCCCTGCTCAGGAACCTGCCTTGGCTTCCTGCTCAACAAGCCCATGAGCCTCTGCCCAACATGAAGATCTTCTGTGACCTGGTCCCACTGTACACACCCAAGCCCTGTGGGCAGTCAGGGTCCCTCAACATCTCCGTGAGTGGAATTGAGAGAGCCTAAGACCGTCAGATGGGGGCCGGGTGGGGTCAGTGCTCAGGGTGTCAGTGCAAGTAATGAGGTTTCGGGGACAGCACACTGAATGGCAAAACAGGTGTTGTCGAGTGGCTGGGACCCCTCTTCTCCTCTTCCCCCGTGGGCTTGAGTAAACGGAATCCTTTTGTGGCCTTGTGTGGGTTGGTGATAGTGCACGGGACAAGAGATGGAAACGGGGCAAATGATAGATCCTTGGGCGGGGTGCTTGCTGTGTGACCCTGGGCAGGTCAAATCCCTTCTCTGGGTCTCCAGGTTTTCATTTGTCCTTCAGAGCCCCTTTCAGCTCTCGCATGTCACAAAACCCCCTTCATTTCTCTGTCTTCAGCGAGCACCTGTGAGCAGCTGGGCGCAGAGGATTGGGTCATAGTCAGAGAGCCCAGGGAGCTCACAGCCAGCCCAGGGAGTGGAGAACTGGAAACAGTGGGGTCTGGAGCGTGGATAACATGGGTGTGAATTCTGGCTCAGTCCCTTCCCGTGGTGTGAGATTTCAAGCAAGTCAGCTGATTCCCCTGAGCTTCAATTTCTCCTTCTGTGAAGCAGATTTAAAAACTCCACTTCACGGGTTCTTGATTCTGCCAACCGGGTGAAACCAGCTAGTAACACTCAGCCACGTTACTTAGTCTATTTGTGCCTCGGTTTTTCTTATTTGTAAAATGAGTATAATCGTGATACCCACCTGACAGGGTTTGTTTGTTTTTTCCAGCTTAGGCTGGAGTGCAGTAGTGTGATCTTGACTCACTGCAACCTCCGCCTCCTAGGTTCAATTAATTGTCCTGCCTCAGCCTCCCAAGTAGCTGGGACTACAGGAGCATGCCCCCTGCCTGGTTAATTTTCGTATTTTTAGTAGAGACGGGGTTTCACCATGTTCGCCAGGCTGGTCTTAAACTCCTGACCTCAATGATCTGCCCTCCTTGGCCTCCCAAAGTGCTGGGATTACAGGCATGAGCCACCGCGTCCTACCCTGACAGGGTTATTTCTCATGAGAGTGAAATGCATTAGCATATGTAAGTCCATTGGTGTAGTGTTTTGCCTTGGTCTATAGGAATATATGAAAACAGAAGTGGCTCAGATAAGGGTGTTTTGTGCAAGAGGAGGAGGTGGATCTTTGGAGAGAACTGTCTGTGGGTGATGGTTCCTCACCCATCCTCAGTCTCAGAGCCCTTGTGCCCCATATCTTACCTGTAGCCTCTGACCCGGCCTCCTCGCCCCCAGCAATAGGTGACTTACCTGCTTTCCACCTCCTCAAACATGCTCTTAGCTTAGCAGGCACCTCCATCATCCTGGGGAGGCCTGTCCTTCTTTTCCAAATGGGAAACAAGCCCTTATCCTGTGCTTGGGAGAGGTTGCCAGGGAAAGTGGGTTGAGTCTCCCAGACATGCTGGCACTCTGCTGCCCAGTAGAAAGATAAATATCACTTTGACAGCTGCTGCTCCCCGGGGGGAGCTCTTCTGATGGGTGGGAGGCACTTTCCTCCCTTGGCCTGAGTGCCCCGCTTTCTGTGTGTGCCTGCTGGGTCACTTGCCCTGGGGCTTGTCCACGTCCAGAGTGCTGCTTAGCAACCCAGTAGAACTGGGTGACTGTGTCAACAGCTCAGGACCAAAGGCTGCAAGAGGCAAGGTCCACTCACTCTGCCAAGACCAGGGATGGTGACACTCCTCAGCTGCCAGCCTCTTGCCCTCCATGCTGAGCCTTGCTGTCAGCGCAGACCTCTGACATCTCTTCTCTTAGATTTCCCAAGCACAGGCATTGGGACCAGGAGTCTCCATCCGTGAGACCATTCCAGCTGAGTGGGCTTTGGGTGGGCCCAGGGAACGTTTCCCAGCAAATGGGGGTAGACAGAGGCGTGTGATGCTAAGGTCAGGCACGTGGCCCCAGAAGGCAGCCATCGGGGAAGGGACAGTTCTGCAGCACGCACCAAAGGACCTGAGGCTCACATGTGCAGTGACCTCCTAAGTCATGGATGTCCCTTTCCTCCTGAGCTGCTCCCCTCTTCAGTCACACCTTTCCTCCTTCAGGGAGACCCAGGACACTTTTCACCTAGAGAACCATGTCTGTGCCTAAAGATGGACAGGGGCTGGGGCCTTCCTTAGGGGTTCCTCTAGCCCTTGGCCTTTTTGGTTATTCCAGTGTGTGTGTGTAAGGGGGGAAAGGCAAATGTGAGGGGGTGGTTAAGAGAGGAGAGGGAGACATGGGGCCTTGGGGGAGTTTCTGCTGTGGGCTGGTTTCACTGCTAGCTCTCACACCCAGCAATACCAATAAAACTGATGATAATAATTAAGACCATATAATCACCATGTGTTTATTTATCCCCCAGAAGCCTCCTTTCCCTGGCCCCATGATTACCTATTCCATCCTTATGATAGCTGGTGGGCGTTAACTGTGGCTCCAATAAAAAGCAGTAACTGCCTGTGTTTCCACCCCACACGCCCGGACTGCTTTGCTCCCACCCTTTGCAGGGTGGGAGGGACACTATTTTCAGAGGGAACAACAGAGGCAGTAAGCTGAAGATGTCAAAAAGAATGAAACCTCACAGGGCAAGTAGTAGAAGCAGCAAGGTTTGCCTTCTGTTTTAGAGCCTTCCCCCTTCTTCCTGGTGTCTGCCTCCCGCCCAGAGAAACTTCTCCGGTTCCACGACCCTCTGCAGGACCACTCAGCCTGCAGCTGCTGATCTCTCAGAAGACTGATCAAGCCGAGCATGTAGCCACCAGCCGGAAATAAATACCACTGGGTGATACTGGGAAAGTTGCTTTTCACCACTGAGCGTCCTATTTCCTACATGTTAAAAAGGATGTTTGCAAAGACTAAGACCTTGCGTGCAAACGTGCATTACAAAATGGCAATGGTTGATACTACTATTAAGGGCCCAGTGATATTTGTGTATTTGACTCAGAGGAATAGGTGGAATTTCAAACTTCTGCTGAAGAAGGAGTGTGGGAGCTGGGAGCTCTATCCAGAATGCCTCAAATCATCGCGGTCAGCCTGCCCCAGAGTCAGGGCTCTGGAAAGGCATCCCAGAGAGAAGGGAACTCCTGAAACCTGCGGGGGCGAAGAGTCCCTCAGGTTCCCTCTCCCCCCACGCCTCCCCCCTCTCCCTCCTGGACCCACTGGTGTGAGACCCGGACTTGGGGGAGCTCAGCCAAGCTTCCTGCCTGAGCCTGCAGAGATCCTCCCCTCTACCCCACCAACCACATCTCATGCCTTTACCCATTTCACAGAGGGGAAAATGAGGTGAGAGGGAAAGACACCGGGAAAAGCCAGTTAAGGGTCGAGAAAACTCTGGAGTCCAGATTTTCTTTGTGTGCCGACCCCCACACTCCCCCTGCTTTTTCGTTACAGCTTCCCACGCTCTAATCTTTCCGATTGGGAAGGTGACTCCACTGTGGGCCCCGCGCGCGAGTCCCGCTGCACATCGCCCCTTTAAGGGGCCGGCCTCTCGCCTCCCTGACCTCGCCCCGCCCCCGCCGCAGCCACACTGCGCCTGCGTGGCGAGCCGGAGCCCTGGGGTTGGGCAGCACTCGGTTCCGTGCAACTTTCAAGTGAGTTGCAAACTCCGCCCTGCAGGCC